GAGGTAGCTCTCAGTGATTTGATGTAGATCAGCAAAGATTTCTGAGACTCAGTTTTTTAAGAATGGCAGCAACAAAATAAATTTCCATTAAATTATACTTCTGAAATAAAGGAAGATCTCTCTGTGTGGTATCTGGAACAGATTTGTGTGTGGAAGGACAGTGAGCTTGGTTCAGTTTTTGTATGCTCAAAACAAATTCCTGGGCTAACGATTTTTAATGGGAAGTGTGTATCTCTGGTTGGTAGATCCACAAGATTCAAGTCTGTGCACCTCTGCTGTTATGCATGAATTGACTAGCCAGTGGAGTGCTGCTGAATCAGTTCATCATGGCTCTGAAGGCTATTAATACTCTAATAATATTTTAATTAGGCATTGTTCTCATGCACTGTCTTGTTAACTGAATGGTTCTTTAAAAACCCCAGCCAACTGCAGAATCACAGGAAATCCATACCTTTGCTATATTTGATTTTGCTGTGGTTCTGTGCCTTTTTGACAGAGGTGCAATAGGCAGAACAGAGGTGTCTTCCAGCTATCACATTCATATAAGTCTTCTTTCACAGGACTTGGCTGGAGAGTGGTCTGTCCATTGCTTTTTGGGGTATTGTATGGGTCGTTCTGATACCTACAATTCACATGGGTGGCTGTTCATTATTGTTATTATTTATTACCTTTATATACCACCTTTACCTTCCAAGGATCTCTAGGGGATGTACATGGTTCTCCTCCTCATTTCATTCTCACAACATCCTCACAACCTACCTCCTGTGAGGTAGGTTAAGCTAAGTGATGGTGACTGGCCAGCGAGGTTCATGGCTGAGTGGGGATTTTTTTTTTTTGTATTTTTATTAAAGATTTTCTTGATTTAATGTCTCTCTCTTCTATTTTTTCCATGTAACATTTTTACAAATCAGTTTCATTTGTTGAGACATTAGGAAGAAAAGGGGGAGAGGGGTGGAGGGTGGGGTCGGGTGGCGATGTTTCTATTTTGCTTAACGTATGTAGGGTTCGGTGTCAGCGTTGCTTGTGCAGGTTCTCTGCTGTTCACTTGTGTTCCTTTGGTGGTGAGAGGGGTTGGGGTTGGCCTTATTTGTTTGTGATTGGCTGTGGTGATCTTTGTTTTCATGTGTGAGTGGGGTGTGTGTGTGTTTTGGGCTGAGTGGGGATTTGAGCCTTACTCTCCCAGGTCCTGGTCCAGCACTCTAACCATTACACCACACTGGCTCATGCCAACCATGCCCCAAATGAGGAACATGCTATTTATCTGTGGCAGACATCTTAACCCCAACCAAATTCTCTAGACAAATGGATTACAATTCCTGCACAGGTCTGTCATAATGCAGACATAGACCCGATTGGTTTCCCCCACTGAGAGATTCTGTGATTTTTGAAGGCTGGTTCTCAGCACACACACATGTCCGTTATTTGATTTCGCATCACTTGCTTTCACAGTACAGTGGTACCTCAGGTTAAGAACTTAATTTGTTCTGGAGGTCTGTTCTTAACCTGAAACTGTTCTTAACCTGAGGTACCACTTTAGCTAATGAGGCCTCCCGCTGCCACTGTGCGCCGGAGCACAATTACTGTTCTCATCCTGAAGCAAAGTTCTTAACCTGAGGTGCTATTTTTGGGTTAGTGGAATCTGTAACCTGAAGCATCTGTAACCTGAAGCGTCTGTAACCCGAGGTACCACTGTACTTGAAGACTGACAATGTCAATTGTCAACAAAACTGAAGGTTAGAAGATTCAGCACAGACAAAAGAAAGTATTTCTTTACAAAGCACGTAGTTAAACTATGGAACTCAATTCCTCATGGCCACCAATTTGAATGGCTTCAAAAGAGGGTTAGACAAATTCATGGAGGATAAGGCTTCCAATGGTTACTAGCCATGGTGACTATATTCTGCCACCACTGTTGGAGGTAGTACTGCTTCTGAATACTGGTTGTTGGAAACTGCATGAGAGGAGAGTGCTGTTGTGCTCAGGTCCTCCTTATGGGCTTCTGATAGGCATCTGGTCAGCTACTGTAAGAAGAGGATGCTGGACCAGATGGACTCTGTTTCCTTAAAAAAATTCAATTCCTCTCAATCATCCTCACACTTCAGCCAGTGTTATGTAGGGGTGTGTGTGCATATGGAAATCCAAATTCAAATCTTTCCTTAGTTAACACAGTGTCCTGTGGCACAAGTCACTTGCAATCAGACTTATTTCAGTAGCAAGGATCCTGTACGTGGAGGAGTTATGGTACCCTCTTGGAAGATAACTGTCTTCCTGCACAACAAGGGCAGGTTTAATTTGTGCCAGAGGTAACCAGGGCTCCATCCTGGCAACTGCTTCAGTGCCAGTACAAGAAGAAGAAGAAGAAGAGTTTGGATTTGATATCCCGCTTTATCACTACCCGAAGGAGTCTCAAAGCGGCTAACAATCTCCTTTTCCCTTCCTCCCCTACAACAAACATTCTGTGAGGTGAGTTGGGCTGAGAGACTTCAAAGAAGTGTGACTAGCCCAAGGTCACCCAGCAGCTGCATGTGGAGGAGCAGGGAAGCGAACCCGGTTCACCAGATTACGAGACTACAGCTCTTAACCACTACACCACACTGGCTCTCTACAACATGCTGGGACAAATGAAGGAAGGAAAGTCAAAATCTGAAAAGGTGCAAAACGTGCTACAGAGAATCCACACACATCATGGATTAGGAATCCACCAAGCAGGGGGAAGTGTCCTAAGGAATGTGGCATGTGCCAGAGAGATTTTACAAAGAAAATACAGAAACTAGATAGAAATTAAGCATTGCCTTCCAGATAAAGTCTATGAGGGTGTTAGTCTTGAATGTATAGATCCAGATATCTCTAGAAGCAGGAAAGGTTTTTCAGCCTGAGGGACACAATTCCCCTCAGGAGCCACATGTCAGTGGTGGGTGGGGCCAGAGGCAAAAGTGAGCAGTACAATGGAATGGGCAACAGGCTATATTCCAGCCACACAGAAATAAAGGGTCTGTACACACAATCCCATGCGCACACGTCTTTCCACACATCTCTGTCCATGTAAGCATGAGGCATGATCACACTTCCAGCAAGGCAAGAGGACTATTCACAGTCATGGATTCCCACAGAAATAGTCCTGGGAACTGTAGCTTGTTAAAGCCACTGGCAGTTGTTAAGAGACCCCCTATTACCTTCAAAGTGCTACAATTCCCAGAGTTCCCTGGGAAGAGGATGGGAATAGGGATTCTTGCAGCATCTCTCAGCACCCTTAACTAACTGCAGTTCAGGATGCTTTCAGAAAAGCAACAGCTGTTAATGTGTTATAATAGTGCTTTAAATTTATAGTGTGGATGCAGCTTTAGTTGTTAAGGTATCATAAGGCATTTTGTTGGATTTGTTACAACAGATTAAGGTGTCTAGAAACTATAAAGGGGGAGGGGAATTCACCTGCATCAATGTGGATCTGAAGGTGAGTACTGGCTGGAGTTTTCATTTAAACCATCTTATCCAAAAGAGCTTTCCTAGCCATGGTGTCAAAGGCTAAAGGCTCAGAGCTAAATATAGTGAAGGCACAAGGAGAATGCAGAGTCCCCTGAGGGAGAGGCCTGACATCATGACATGAGATAAACAGATCTGAATGATACCAATTAATTTCAGAGGAAAGAGTTTTCTTAAGGACACTGCTCCTCTATGTCCCAATTGATGTCTTTATATATATATATATATCTAAAAGAGAATTAGGCACGGCGAGTCTTTCCTGTGTCCCTTCCTCTTCAGCTTCCGCCCTTCCTTCCTTTCTGCCCGTCTTTCATTCAGTCGCTTTCTCTGCTGGGCTCTTTCTAACCTTCCAAACTTTATAAAAAAAGCTTCAATCATGGGGTAAAGGCAGCCCCACATCCTGAGCATTGGCTTCATAAAGAGTCCTCACACAGGTCATGCCCTATCCCCTCCAGCGTTCCTTGTGGCCCCAAAGCTTTGTTTTCCAAAGGGGTGGGGGAGAGTGAGGGAAGGCAAGAGGTAAAGAGGGAGCAAAAGAGAAAAAAGAGCTTACAGCATGGTTAAACAATGCCAAATTTTGCCAGTAACAAATACAACATGTTCACTGTTTTGACTCTGCAGATTTATCCTGCAGGGGATAGTGGGTGTGGAAGTGATAGAAGGGGGGAATGGAATGATAAATTCACTTTGAAAGTAGGCTAAGCCTACTTTCTTTCTTTTTCTAGAGAGGGAAAGAAGGCTTGCTGAACAACACCCCCCCCAATAAATGCTGGAGGCAGGATTCATAGTTACGAGGAGTAGGACACAAGGAATTATACTGTTGCAGAACTCAAGATCTGTAAATTGAGAAAGCTACATCAGGAGGATGTCCTTCACAATAGGTTGAGCAAACTTTTGCAAGAGAGATAGAGAGAAGACTGTAGAGGCCAGCTCTGTAGTGCCCCACAATATAAGAATTCCCCCCAAAATCTGTTTTTTAATACCCAAGGCCCCCTTGCCCCTTTCTCCTCATCAGGTGCAGTGCCTCCTTTAATGGGAGAACCACAGAAGAGTATCTCTTTTACCTGAGAGGTAAGCACAGGTGAAGGTGACTAACCTCTACTACCCCCACATAAAGCCTAGGTTTAAATTTCCAAACTTCAAAGAAGAGCAAACAAGGTGTAGAAAGCATTCAGAGGTGTGTTGCTAGAGGTAGAACACAGCTATCACGGCTAGCCTTCTTCCCAAAACCATGAAGTCTAGGTAGTAGACAGTATTAAGCTAGATCTCTAGGAACATATGGCTGAGATTAGTTTAATTCAGGCCCTGGACTGCTACAAGTCCTTCTCCTTATCTCAAGGAATCTAGAACTTGACATTTCCACCACACCAATCCAAGTGAGAGAGCACAGCAGCAAATTGAAGTCGGAACATAGGAATGTAGGAACCTGCCTTATACTTAGTCAGACCATTGGGCTATCTAGCTCAGTCTATACTGACTGGCAGTAGTTCTCCAGGATGTTAGTCTCTCCCAACCCCACCTGGAGATGCTGGGGATTGAACCTGAGACCTTCTGCTTTGCAAGGCAAACACTCTGCCACTGTGCTATGGCCCTTCCTGCAGCTTTGTACTACAAGACACATCCATTGTAATCAGTGTAAAACCTTATCCATGAAAGGCAATTGCTTTGAACAGCGAGGAACTCAGGGTGAACTGTATGTAAGTGTCCTCAGTTCCCCTCCACCACCTTCTTCTTCTTCTTCTTCTTCTTCTTCTTCTTCTTCTTCTTCTTCTTCTTCTTCTTCTTTAATAAAAGCCAGCTAGTGAATTCACAAGGTCTTAACATCTCTACAGAACAACAGCTCAGTGACAAAGTTCCCAAAGTCACCTTCCAGTAGCTGAGCAGGGCAGAGAGAAACAGCGTGTAATACATATGACAGCAAGCAGAGCATGTGCTGGGCACTTTCCTTATATTGTTACACTCCTGGAAACTCTTGAAACACATTGTAAAGGAAGAAAGCCTCCTGGGCTTGGACTCACCATTAGTCTCATCAAACAAGCCAAGCTTTGATGAAAACAACTCATTACCCAAAGTAGGGAAGAAACTTGTCTGATGTTGTTTACCATTGAGATCGCTCCGTTGCTCCTTCCAAGCCGCCTGCGGATATCAGCAAAGAGGGGGAATAAAAGCCACCATTATAAACTTTCTGTCCTTAAGGTGAGGAGTTTTTTTCTCTCTCTCCTTTATTTGGTTTTGGTTGTGGAAAACAAGTTTTTCCCAAACACTGACTAATTCAGCACTCTGGGTCAGCTCCAAAGTATGAAGTGGCTTGTGAACAGAATGCCTCCAATGCTCAGCCTTGCGCCCCCACAACCTTTTTTTAATATATATACATGACATTTGTTTTCCTGTGTCTCTTGGCTCATGGACTGGTGGTGGAGCCTGTAAAACAAATAAGTGGCTACATAATGACTCTCATGCCACAACGGCATCTCATTTCCCCCAACACCATCAGCACGGTTTAGCTGCGACATTGACGCCTCCTGAGTTATAGATGTTGTGTTGTATTGTTCAATGACCCTCTTCAAATCTTTGAAAGTACGGAGTTGAAATGTTCCTAAAAAGTTGCTGGGCCTAATTAGAATGTAATGTAATCAGTGGCATGAGTTACACAAGGCATGTGAGCTGATTCGAAACAAGGGAGTGTAAAGGCTGCTGTCTTAAGCACATCTACTTGAGATTATGTTCTGCTAAAATCATTTGGCTACACTTCCAAAAACTGTGTTTAGGACTTGCACAAATTGTATAATAAGATACATGAGTTTCACTGAGTACATCTACTGAAAGCAATTCATCCCTAGGATCAGGTTTTGACAAGATTCATCACTTGGCAAGATGAATCACTTATGACAAGATTCATATGGAGGAGGAACTCCTTTGTGAGAAGTAAATAGCTTGCATTTGTGCCTTGTATATTACTGAGGTTGAGTGCCTTTGTGAAATTCCCAAGAAGGTATGTTCTAGGTTGTCCTTGAAAACTCTGAATGACTGGGGGGGGGGGGAGAACTTTAATGTCCATAGGCAGTGTATGTTGGATCAATCCATCAACTACCGATGGATGATTTAGAAGGATTGGGTCCGGCATCACATTTGCTGTGTGTGTGTCAGTATCCATACTCAGCAGAGTTACATCTTAATGCAGCTCCTTCCTTGGAAGCATCTTTGGGGTTGAAGGTACACACAGTAGGCAATAAACACTCATGGACACCATAAAGATTCAGTCAGATGTAGAGGTTTACTTAACAGGTATAAAAGCATATTGGTAGCAAATATATACAGACATTCACCACTGCCGTGGTCAAAGCATGCTTAGAGTCCAACAAGAGCTGAATACTCTTTCTCTGCTTCTCTCACCGCAACACACAAGCAAGAGACTCACAACAAGTTACAACAAGTTACACAGAACCATTGTTAGCAGCACTTCCTGTCACACTGCACATGTCCAAAGAACAGTTCCCACCAAAAATGTCCTTGCATAGACAAAACAACCTCAGCCTTCTGCTGCTTCTTGAATCTTCTTCTCTGTTCTCTGTTTCTGGAACAAATGATTCTCTCACAAACAGAGAGAATACCCAACACCCCCTCTCATTTTTACAGAAACAGTAGGAACCATGACCATGTACAGAGTGCTTACACATCATGCACTACAAACCCCAACATTTTAACCAGTGATGGTGATAGCTATACCCAGCTCCTGGTAGTCAGAAGTATTAACTTCAACAGTGTACTCATGCTTCTGACTACCAGGAGCTGGGCATAGCTATCACCTCTGGCTGGCCAGCTCTGGACTAGAGGGATCTTGGATCATCACTATCACTCCATAGAAGAAGAAGAAGAAGAAGAAGAAGAAGAAGAAGAAGAAGAAGAAGAAGAAGAATTTGGATTTGATATCCCGCTTTATCACTACCTAAAGGAGTCTCAAAGTGGCTAACATTCTCCTTTCCCTTCCTCCCCCACAACAAACACTCTGTGAGATGAGTGGGGCTGAGAGATTTCAGAGAAGTGTGACTAGCCCAAGGTCACCCAGCAGCTGCATGTGGAGGAGCGGGGAAGCGAACCCGGTTCACCAGATTACGAGACTATAGCTCTTAACCACTACACCACACTGGCTCTCATACCCTACTAATAACTTTTATGGAGTTGCCTCTGGATCTGTGCCTTCCATATAGCAAGGCATGGCAAAGGCTTGCAGAGATACATTCTCTGTCCATCATACTACCAGAACCCAGAGTCCTAAAATGATGCCCACCTGACAGGTGCCAGAGCTGAGTTCCAGATGAAAAAAAGCCCTGATATTAATTTTGATCAAATCATACCCCTGGATCTGTGACCTTGGAACTGCCATTCTGTCTTTAACAGACGATCAGTTTGTTTGTTTTTTTAAAGTTTTTTATTTAATCCCATCCTAGGGCATGGGATACTGACTGCTTCAGGCTGCTTCATGGGAACTGACGAAAATACAATACATTTTGGTTTGCGTAAGTGTGGTGGCGCCTATTTAGCCTTATGCTGTCAACCAAGATTGGTGAACCTCTGTCATTCTGAAAGGTCTGAGAGTCCTATGTCATGAGGGTGGACGAGTACAGTGGCCCATCATTTCCCCATTTCTAACCCAACTGTGCCAGTCACTCTGTATCTATACTTTTGTGGTTAAAATAAATGTATTATTTGAGCTGCTATCTGTCCTCCACACAGCACTCTCAGTGAGTTTTACTCTAGCTGGCCAATAATGAGGTGCAGGATATTTAAAAAAACAAAACCCTCCATGCCTGCAATAACTACTGTATATTTGCTCGTAAGGCAGAATGGATCTTGATGAACAATGTGGTTCTAATATCTGCCCCAATGAAATCAAAGGGGGATATTTTCCCTTTCTTTTTCTTCATCTTCTGCTTCTCTCTCTCTCTTTTTAAAGTTTTATAAAAGGAGCTAACTTAATTTCAAGAGCCGGTGTGTTTTTCATTAGCAACGCAGCCTTTTGAAATCTGTCTGAAGAATGCCCAGCAGAAAAACAGAAATTGATATACAGTAAAAGGGTTTGCCTGGAGATGTCCCCTGTACCATGTTACCTTTTGCAGTGCAATGGCTTGGAGGGAAGAGGGATACAAGGGGAGAGACAAGCCAGATCGCTTCTCTGCAGCCTCAGCGCCTTCTCGGGAGGAGGAGCTCAAGCATGATCAGGCCTTAGGACTGAAAAATATGCAAATCCTCTTGTCTGTCTTTTTTTTTTTTTTGATGGAGAGAGAAGGGATGGGCAAATCTGTCAATTCTGATTTCTCATTTTCCTGATTGCAAGTTCAGTTTTTCCACATTTCTGCATCAGATGGCGATATTTAAAAAAATGTTCTCATGAAAATAATATGAATTTCTTCCAATATGCACAATTCTGCCTCTCATGCATCTTTTTGCAAGATACTAATGTTTGCATACTTTACCTTAGTAAATGCATTGCATGGCTGGAGAACTGCATTGCAAAATGCAGAGAAGTGTGAATTTCAAAGGATGGTTGTGTTTTGGTTTGAATATTGTTTCAAAAAGTGTGAATTAAGTCGGTTCACTTTTTAATGCGAGCTGAATCAAAATTCTCCCCCATCCCTAGGAGACAGCAAATCCAGTGGGGGCTCTGCAGACTTTGCTTGTTGTTACTCAACTGTAAGAGAAATGTAATAGTTGAGCTTTGATGGAAACAAAATGATGTTCTTTCAGAAGGCTTTAGCTCCTGCCTTCAACAAGTCATCTATTTGGATTACAGCTTCTTTGGAGGTGGGAGAGGGATTGGGCGGAAGGAAAGACACGACAGGGCTATCATAATATACATCTAGCAAAGCACATGCTTCACAAAGAGAGGACAGAATTCAATGAATGAGAGTCCCATCAGTAGCAGCCCTGCACAAGGACTCCTGCTTGTGCAGTGGGGCTGTCCCCATCTCCTTCCCTTATGCTCCCCAAATTGTTGTTGTTTTTTTGGGGGGGGTCAGGAAAATCCCTTGAACAGCACATGGTGGGAGGTGGGAGGAGAATGGGGTGGGGGGTTGTTGTGATGGAAAATATATTTGTGTGAGGCTTCCTGTGATAGATCAGAGCATTAACTGCTAGTGGATGAACAAATACCGGTAGTCAGATTTGGTGCAATAAGGCAGTTTCCTTTGTTTTCAGTGAATGCATGACCTGATATGATGTGTGTGATCCCTCTGCTAGTGTACATCTCTTTCCCAGCACTGGCTTAAGAACTGATGGAAAGTGACACTAATCTGAGACTGAGCTGCAAACACATATGAAAGGCAACAAACAGATGGGCCTTTCAGATGTTGGACCTTCATCCACCCAAAGAACAAGGAAGTGTGTGTGTGTGAATGGAGAAAAATCTTGGTGTTTTCCTCTCCTATTTTCCCCTCCCTAGCCTTTTGCTTCACCTTACAAAGCACACTGAGGATCTGATGGATGCTTTGATATAACACACATTTTTGTGCTGCAAATACCATCATGCTCTAAATTATTTAATGCCTGTATGAAGCTGCTGGAAGGAGTCAGATGGAGATTTGGAGCACAGTGTTATCAGTATGCTGAAATAACTAAATAAATCATCAGCAACAGCAACAGAAGCAACCCCAGTCAGCACAGCAAGGGTGATGGAAGTGATAGTTCAACAACATCTGGGTGGCACTAGGTTGGGGAACAATGCTATGGAGACACTAATAGTTGGCTGGACAAACCTAAGTCAATAGTTTGCAGTAGGGTTGATGTAAACTGATAGGGATGGGTGACAAGAAGTTCTGGAATTCACACATCCAAAAGTCCTAGCAGTATGTAGTAATGATCCACAGGTAACTTCTGTTACCTCTTCCTCTTTAGGTTCACTCCTACAATCATTCACAAAAACTGAATCTTTGATACAATGCAGTTGATTGCTTTCTGAAGTATTCCGGTGGAGCCAAAAGGAAAATCTGAGTTTATCTCAGCTTCCTTTGGTGGTCACATGAAGCCAATTAATGACTCCATTAATTCAGTATGGGAATAATGCCATGGTTTGTAGAGTTAAGGAGATGTCAGTGGTTTTGATTATTATTGAACTTCCTCTCACATAATTGATAATTACA